TGCCAGTTCTATCTCAAAAATGGCAACCTGCCTATTGATCCTTTGTGCTCCAAGCCCTGGCAGGATGCTCTAAAGCGCATAACTGGGAGCATCCGAGCAGCCGCAGGATCCATAGCAACATGGGTGCTGAAGCAGCCGGCGAGGAGAGTGTTCAGCCGCGCGGGGAGAGGGTGGGGTGTGGAGACGATGAATTGTGCTCCCACTTCCTCTGCCAAGGGGATTAAATATAGCAACGGGGCTTGCTCACCTGGCAATGGGAATGAAAGCACCTACGAGGGTTTGTGTCCTCTGGCCCGCCAGAAGGCGTTGGGGTTTTCACTTTGAGCGCCCAGAGCATGGTTGGTCCTGATTTCCTCCTGACCAGGCTTCCACTTTGGGCTCATACCGTCATGGTTTAAAGATAGTTAAAGGACGTTCCTTGGGTTTTCCCACCAGAGCGAGGCTCCCTCTTCCCTGGTTACCCTTGAGGGGCAGGTCAGATCAGGTGTGTTTCTGCTTGTCCTGTAGAAGGTGCCTCTTTGAGTAGCTCTCCCCCCACCCCAAACCAAGAAGCATCTGCTTTCATAGGAGATGGTTGCAGATCTCTGGCTGTGTTGTGGCTCTTGGTGAAAAGCGTTCTCCAACTTGCAACGAACATTTCCAAGTATCTTGGGGAGGGGCGGAGAAGGGAGAGAAAACCTACTGTAGTCACGCTGGGGAAGCTTCTGTTTCTGGGAAGGCCTCGCGGACAGGAGCAGCGAAGCGAAGCCCTCAGAGGTCTCTCGCCTCCCTCCCTCCCACCACCTTGACTCCATGGCCGTCCCTCTGGGGACCCACCTGGGCGCTCGCGCCTGAGGCCCCCGGCTTGCCCTGCTGCTGTCCGGAAGGAGTCGGCCCTCCAAGAAAGAGCGGTGATCGGGGGCGGGAAGGTCTCCCCAGAGCTGCTGTCATCGGTGAGGTCAGCCAGTTCTAGGAACTGCTGCTTATCTGTGGCTGCAGCAGCGGCGCAGCATCTGGCTCGTGAGGTCTGAAGCCCCGCCTGGGGTCCCTTCTGCAGGGTGGAGGGCAGGCCTTGCTGTGGGCACAAAGCAGACTCGCCCGGTTGGGAGTGTTGGGAGGGGCTCTTTGGAGCTGCCTGCCTTGTCTCAGCGGGACAAGCGCGTGGGGCCGTGCGCCGTGTCTCTCCTGTTTTTCTTCAGCCGAACAGAACAGGAAACAGACCGGAATGATGGGATGAGAAGCGTCAAGTGTCCGGATGTTAGCGCCATGACCTGTGTGTTTTTTGAGAGAGAGTCATCTTTCAGGTTTCTACATTGCTGAGCACAAGAACTGGGAGTCATGCCTTGTCTTTGGGGAAGCGCTTCAGTGTCTTAAAAGAAATAGTCCTGGTCACACAAAGAGAGGAACGCCTCTCTCTAACAGACCTCGCTGTCTCTGTTTTTTGCAAGTGTGTATTTAGCTGTACGTGTCTACAGACCGTGTTTTTCCTTTGGAAATTGAGAGCACATTTTATTCAGCGGGTTTTTAATGTCTGCCAGCCTCAGTCCCTGCTGGCTCATACTTGGGTGGAGAGGGAGGCTGGGAAGCTTGTCCAGGCTGTGATGCTCCTTGATGGTCTCCTCTCTGATCCTCTGTGGCTCCAGCTGAGAGCGACTCTCGCGTGGGGCAAGACGTGTCAAGTCCATGCGAGCGAGGCAGCCGAGGAATCGCCAGTCTCTCAGTTTGGTGGAGGAATATAGCAGGACCCCTTTCTTCGGCTGCCTCCTGCTTCCAGGGGGGTGGTGTGCAGCACAGAGCCCTTCCCAGCGAAGCGGGCTGTGGGATTGGCTGCAACCTGAGCGCACAATGTGTATTTGGGTGAGTAGTTGTGTCGCAAAGCTGTGTTGTTGGGTGTTGTTCTGCTTATAGGCACTACCAGAAGGTGGTGGATTGGCACCCTGAGATAGCTGTGGGAAGAAGAACTGGCAGCGTTCCCACCTGACGGGGAACCCGTGACAGTGGCTTTGGCTGCAAGAACGAGCACCCAGGGAGCAGCTCTTCGAAGCCTTTTTCTATGGGGTTGGAGGGGGGGCATGGGCATTTGGGGAAAGAGTACAAGCGTGTGTGCAGGCGTACATCTGCGCATTTGTTATCCCCCTTGGTTGAACCTGGCATGGGCCTGGAGATTTACACGGATGCTTTTAACCGTGTGCTGGGGCCTGGCAGCTCCTGGGGGGTTCACGCACCAAACCGGCTGCCACCTCTTGGAGAGCACATGGTGAGATCTGCCCGTGTTTTGTGTTGGAGGCTGAGCCTGCCCGGCCTCTCCTTCCATCAGCAGCTAGAGCTGTATTTGCAAAGGAGCGTGGAGTGCGGCCTTGCGTCTGTAGGGCGGGCGGACACACGTGGCTGCCCCCCCCTCTCTCTCTCACACACACACACACACACACAACATCCATTGGGACTTTCTCTGGGGAGGCCTTCTGGCTGGCGTTTATGGACGGGGGGGGCAGAACCAGCATGGTGGGTTGGCAGGTTGGTGTGGGCCCTTCTCAGTTGCTTCCTCCAACCATGCGGTCATCCTTTGCTGTGTGGAGAGCGAGAGCAAAGTGGCAGCCTCAGTGCTAGAAGGACCAAGCGGAGATGCAAAACAGCTTCCATGCTGCGGCCTGAAAAGGTGGGGAAGACCCTAGGCCACCGAGGCCCAAAGACTGCCCTCTTTCTCCAAAGGGGGAAGGAGCGACCCGAGGTCGGTGTGCTGCTCCACCTCCAGAGCGCTCTTCTGTCTCCTCAGCGCTGCTACTGAGAAGCGGGCCCTTTTCTGCCTACCAGACCTGAAATGGGTGAAGTACCCTAACCCTTTGCTCATTCCCCCCCGTCCTCCTAACCCTTCCATCCTGCAGTTGCATTGTTCTGGCCATCCCAGAGCCATGAAGAAGCTCGATTTGTTGAGAGCAAATCCGAGCAGCTCTTTCACGGTTGGGGGGATCTTTGCCCAGAAAAACTTTGGGTCCTGGTTTGTGAAAACCAGTGGTCGATAGGAAGGAGGGGGCAGAAGGGGCTCAAGGGTCCAGATTCAACTTGGACAGAACAACGGAGCCTCGTTTTGTGGGCCTTGAAGGGTCCTGCCCTTTTGTTCCACTGCTTCCGTTCGTTAGCGCAGGTCGCCTGCTTTTCTCCTCTTGGTGACGGCCTGTTTGTGGCGCAGTTGCCAGAAGAGCGACCAGAATGCCTGCTGGGCACGCCGTGGCTCTGGAAACGGAAGTGGCTTCCGACCTTCATCACATGGAGCATAAGCTAATATACTAACTTTTCATTCTCTTTTAAAGTTACAAATAAAAAACCCCGCTTCTCCTCATAGCCTAAATTTTATCTATACGCAATCCAGAAATCATCATCTTTTCAAACCTAGTTCAGCAGAACGTCCATTAGGAATTACCAGAAATATCAAACCAACAGTTTATCCCTGGCCAAATAGTCCGCCTTTGCATTCCTCCTTTTTGCTCTGCGGAACCTCGGCCTTTAAATCCTTCCTTGGGCATCGCAGGATTTGGTCTTTCATCCCTCTTTGGCATTTAAAAGGAGTCTTCAGAGCTTTCACCAGCCTACTTTGTACATCCCATAGAGACGCATCGTCCGGGAGTTCTTGTCGCGGCTGTTCCGCGCCCAGATCCTTGCCTAGATTTGTCTTTTGGGTTCCCATTCTGGTCATCTCAATTTTGTTGTCTTCCATGCTTTCAGACTCTAAAGTTTATGTCAGGTAAAAGTTTTTAAAAGTTTTTCTTACCAACTTCTAAACACTTGGCCATTGAAATCTCTATCCTTTCTGAGATATTAGTTATTAATATTTCAGTCCACGTTTCAAAAAAAAACTAAGATAAGAAAAAGTTACAGCTGGCTTAGCCATTTTAACTTGTTTCATCCTGGTCCTTTAGTTCCCTCTAGTGTCTATTTTGCACCCTTCATCAAGCCTCAGTTCCTAATATGGGTTTAGTTGCATTTCAGTTGCTTCCCATGAGTATATTATTTAATTATGTACTTGTTTTTCAACTCCCAAGCAAAAATAACCAATATTCCAAATCTCTCTGGTCTCCCAATCCATTTAAAACTTTCTTAAAATCTTTCTTTTTTTTTTGGCTTTTTGCCAGTTGTATATTATTGTATTATTATTATAATATATATAATACTATATATTATTCTCTCTATTTAAAATGTCTTAAATCCAAACAAGATAAAACTCATGAGAGGTCAAATTAAGCTCGCCGTTTTGAGGGTCTCTAATATCCATAAAGTGGTTAAATTGAACATTTCCAAACGTGATTAGAAAGTGAGTTTGGCTGGCTTAGTGTCCTTTTGAAAGGCTCCACCACTGCTGAGGGCAAAGATGTTGTCTCCCTCGGCTCCTGGCACTTAAACCCATGAGAGAATGCTGTTTTACGGTCTCCTCGCAAGGAACTGCAGAGCGCTCATGGGCGATCTCCCGTTCTCTCCTTCTTGGAGAGCTTCGAAGGACGGGTCTACTCGCCAGTCTTTCGTAAGACGGGTTTTTTGCAAGGGAGGGGTCCTGATCCTGGGCATTACAAATGCCCCAGCTAGGCAAAGACTCTCTGTTTTGGTTTTTTTGGCCGTGTTTTGCCCAAGTCTTGCGGCAGCTGGTGATCGTTTCTTTGCCCTCCCCCTGTTGTGCATTGAGTGGTGAGAGAACCCCTTGGCAACCCCCATTTCAGTGCAACGTCCTGCTGCCATCATTTGGGTTTTTCAGGCAAGACCATGGCTAGTCCTGCCTGGGCGATGGGTCTTGTTGCCAGAGGGACGTGAAGAACATGGAAGCTGGTGTCGCCTTTAGTGAAGATGGGGCTTCCCCAAGGGGATTATGAGAATTGGCCTGGCCGTTCCTCGCCTGTAGAAATTAGGGTGCGCCCCCACAGCCACGGGCCAGTGGGAAAGGGAGGAGGCGCTGTCCGAGGGCCCTCAGTCTGCTCCATCCAGCACGTCCCTGCCTGGCAGGGGATAATGCCCGCTCTCCCTTCTCACCTCCCCAGGACCACTTGAAGCAATGCTTCGGCCGGCCAGCAGCAGAGGCCAGGGACACCGATGTCCTCGTGCAAGAGGCCGACAGCAGGTACGGCACCTGGGGCAACCAGCGGCACAGCGGAGACAGGTGAGGGGACGGGGAGGGGGAGCAGCGGCTTCATGGTCCCCGGATCCTTTTCCTGCCTGTCTGGGGGTGGGGGGTGCCTTTTCTATCGCTAGAGGGGCCAAGTCACAGTTGCAGCCCCATTTGCCACAAATTGGTTGGCAGGCGAGGAGGCCGGGGGGCCACAGTGGCCCTTCCTGGCACCACACAAGGCTTCCAAAGCCAGCTCTGGCTTCGTGGCAGTCGCGGGGGCTGGCTCGAAGGAGCCTCGGGTGGCCACCGAGCGCCTCTCGGAGCCTTCCTGGGGAAACGCCGCCTGCGCCACCCTCTGCTGTTCAACCAGCTCCTTGTCCAGAGACCTGGATGGGGTGAGGCCTCCTCCGTTCTCCAGCCAGGAAGGGGCCGGTTCTGCAGGTGGCTGGGGGTGTCTTGGGGTCTGGGGGAGAGACGAGGCCAGGCTCCAGCCTCCAGGCCTCTCCTGCAAAGGTGCGCGGTGCCTTGCACATTTGTGGCACGTCTGCTCCGACTGTTCTGCTCAGGAGCAGGATCACCTTTCAAGATGGGCTCGAGAGTAGCGATGCCCCTCCTCGGTTTCCTTGAGACATTAGGATCCTTTGGGACTCCCCCTCCCCAGAGCAAGCTGCTAAATGACTCTCTCGCCCCCTAGACTAGGGTGAGGGAGGGGTCCTTGCAATGAGTCGCGCTGCAGACTGCCGCTCAGCAGCCTAATCCTTCCTGCCGCTTGTCCTAGTTTTGTCCCGGAGTCTCCTTCCTCGGAAAGCAGCGCGGCCCCCACCCAGAAGCCGTCCCCCAGCAGCCGGGCCTCTGTGTTCTCCTCTCCGACGGATCCGGCCTCCAAGGAGCAGAGGAGCACCAGCCTGGATGACTTCAGCCCAGATGCAGAGTCGGCGGATGGCGCCAGCGCCTCTCCCCCAACGGAGTTCTCCTTCCTCGATGTGAGTGGCTGGGGCAGTCCCCTCCGCGTCTGGGGCAGGCCTGTGCTTCAGTGGCAAGCCCGTCTGTTCCCCTTTTCCAGCAAACTCCCCGGCTGGACTCGAGGCTCCTGAAGAGCCGGGTGCTGCTCGGCAAGAGGCGGCAGCAGCGTCGGGCCCCGATCTCCCACACGCTCCGGAGAAGTGCCGGTGGAGATGCTGAGCAGCCGCCGACCCTGTTCTCTGGAACGGACGACGCAGACAGCGCCTGGATGTTCAGGGATTCCACAGGTAGGAGCTGTGGGAACCTGGAGCCGAGGGAAAGGGCGCTGCTCGCTTGCGGCATCCAGCCAGGGCATCGCGACAGACCCGCAGGAAGAGAGACTGGGCCTAATGGGGGCTACCCAAGATCCTCCAGGAGGGGCATGGAGGAGGCGTGGCCATTATGAATCCCCCCTTGCAGTTCCAGGGTTTGGACCAGCTGGGGTGGGGAGGGGGCTGGATGCCTGGCTGGTGAGGGCCCCAAGACAGGCTTGGCCCTCGGGAGCTGCCCCTGCCCCTGCCCCCACCTCAGCTCTGCAGCCCGCTTGGGCCAGCCTGGCCTGGTGACAGTTCTCCTTCTCCCCGCTTTTCATGATGAAGAAGTAAAGCCCACCAAGGGAGGAGAGTCGGAGGAGGAAGGGAAGTCCCCCTCAGCAGAGAGGCCACCCCCCTCCCAGCCACGGCTGCCCCTCTTCCCGGGCCTGGACCCTTCCGCTCTCAAGGTACGGCTGGAAAAGGTTCCTGCCTGATATGAAATGCTTAGAAAATTGACGTTCCGTTTCCGCGCTCCCCCCAGGGCCAGCCTGAAGGCCGCTGAGGGCTTGTTCCCTGGCACGGCAGGGTGGGTCTCTGCTGATGGCCTGGCGCTGACGGGCAGCCAGTCGGCTGCTTTCCGTGTTCTCTGAGGCAGGGTTTGTGGGTCTCCTTCACAGGCTCAACTCAGGAAAAGACACGAGTCGGAGGGGAGGGAGGAAGCCACCCCTGCGCCCCTCTGCAAGTCTCCCAAAGGTCCATTTCAGGCCGGGGTCTCAGGAGGCAGGGCACTGACAGCCGCCCCCAGGAAGGAAGAGAGGTGAGAGGAGGGGAGGGGAGGGCATCCTGTCAGCAATGCCAGTGGGATTCACACAACCCTGGAAGCCAGAAAGGGGGGTGCTGAAGGTTGCCTCCCCTGGCCCCGCATGCCTCCCCAGCCCGATTTGTGCCAGGAGCACCTCTTTGGGCAAGGGGAAGTTGCTGAGGCACTGCTCCTTCCAGGTCGGAGGAGCTGCCCCCCCGGTGGCTGAAAGAGCTGAAGTCCAAGAAGAAGCAGAGCCAGCCCGAGAGCCCCATCTGAGGAGGACTCAGGTTCAAAGGGGACGCCTGTGGGCTGAGCAGGCGGGACAGGTCGTCGGGCCAGCGTGGGGGCCCTGGCATCGACAGAACTGGAGAGGACGCGCTCGGGCCGGGCTCACACGTGGCACGCGCTGCCCTCCTGGGCTGAGCTGCCTCTGGCGAGTCCAGCTGGATGGGGGCTTTGAGGGGCCAAACCTGGCCAGCAACGTTTCCTTGGCAGACTGCGGGTGCCCGGGCAGCCTGCCTGCCTGCCTGCCATGGGTGCCCAGGGAGGGCTTGTGGGAGGCAGCGCGTCATCCGGGGCAGGCCCAGGCAGGCCGGGTGCCGAGGCCCTGATTCCGCCCCCCCTCCCTTCCAGGTTGGAGCCGTGACTGGCCAGAAAAGGATGCTGCCTTAACTGACCGCCGCCCCGTTCCCGTCCCGTGGCTTCCTCTCGCCTTGACCGCTCTGCGCTCGGTGCCTTCCTCTCGGGCCCTGCTTGGCTCCAACACCGGAGAACCAGTGGGAGAGGGCCCGGCCCCACTGCCCTGCATTCCCCGGGGCTGCCCCTGAACGCGCTGCCTTCCTGCTGGGGAGTCAAGACGAGAAACTGGGGTCTGTCAGGGAGGGAGAAGCTTCTGTGAGCGAGTTCTTTTCTCTTTGCGGAAGTGAAAAACAGATCGCGCTTACTGCCATATTGAGAAGGAAAAGGGACTGGTTATTTTTTAAGGATCTATTTTTGATCGGCTGAAAACTTTGTGGATTTGCTATTTGGCCAGGGACAATGTGATTTGTCGTCGTCGTTGTTCAAGGATCAAAGGAGATTTTATTGTACAAGTTTTGTTGGCTGTGGAGTAATTGCTTCAAGGGTGAGCTGTCCTTTCCTAGGAGAGAGAAAGCAATAAAGTCAAGCAGTCTCCTTTAAACGGCTGTAAATCACCCAAGGAGATGGCTTTTTCATTTACTTAAAACAAAAACAAAAACCAGAAACAGAAGGGAGAAACAAACTTGGTCTCAGTGGTGTCTGTATCAGGTCAGCAACAGAACCTGGTGATCTTTGCTAGATTTTCCTGTAAATATTTGGGAAAGGGAGCATAGTATTCCTATCCTTCCAAACATCCAGATGCAGAAGTATTCCCCCCCTGCCCCCATTCTAAACTTGGGGATATTGATCAGCAAATGAACGTGCCTCTCGGCTGCCGGGAGCCCCTGCCAACAGGGCAAAGGCTCGCTGCGTGCAAGTCCCTTTTGGCTCCATCCTGGCCAGCCGGAGGAATCCCAGATTGTCCACAAGCGAGGGGGCCAGGAGACCCTCTGGGAGGCCCCCTTGGTTATGCTGGAGCGGAGGGGGGTCCTGCCCCTTTGCCTTTTGCCCCTTTGGAAGCACTTTTAGCAGCACAGCTACCCACGCCAGGGCTGCCCGTTGTCCTGCCCGGGTGGCAAGTCTTCCCTGTCAGTCCGAGCCCCAACCTCTGTGTCTGCATTCCTGCCTCCCTGGACGCTGTGCTTAGAAACTTGCATTGCCTTCCCTCTCCTCCCATAAGTGCTCTTCTCACAAAAGCTCTGGTTTCAGAAGGGCTCAGCCAGATGCCACGTCCTTTGGCCCTATGGTGGGACAGCCAGCTGCCTCTGTGCCCGGCGCCGGTCCGGGACCATGGGTTCCATTTCTTCCCAGGCCTTGGCAGAAGGGAGGCCCATCTGCTCCCCCAGGCCTCCAGCCCTCGGGCACCCTGCCCGTTGTTTGTGGGACTCGGTCCTCCTTCTCACCACCCCTGGAAGCTGTGAGACCAAGCCCCCCCACCCCAAAGCAAGGAGATGCCCCCGCCCCTGTGCCACTTGGAGGAGGAATCTCCTAGCAGTGCCAGCATTTGCTCTGTGCATCCGCAGCCTTTCCGGGGCTGGGGTTCCCAGGAGAACGTGGCTGGCAGATCCCTGGGAAGCTGAGCACGGAGGTGCTTCCTTGTGCTCGGGCACTGATGTTCTGCTCCTAGAAATGTTTGGCCTTGATATGTCTGATTAAAAACACATGGTTCAGAGCAACGTGGTGTGGCCGTCAGTTTTCTTTCTTCTGTTAACGGTGGAAAGTAACTGCCATGCTGTCCTCTCAGTGGCAGCGTTACTTACCTGCGGATGGGGACGGGAGGGCAACCGCTGCTGGTGCGCAGAGTGGCTGTGCAGCAAGAGCCTTGCGCGGCCGCCGTGAGATGGCCGTCCGGTGAAAAGCCGACGCACCCGGATGCCTCTCACTGTCCCTGCAGGCGAGGGGATTTGAGGCTTGGGAGGGGACACGCTGCTCTCCGGCCCCCATTTGCTCACTGCCTCCTTTCCAGATCAAAGGAAGCAACTGTTCTGCTTTTAGGGTTGGTCAAGCTCGGTGTCCATGGAAAGGGTTTCCCGCCGCAGAACCCCCTCTGTTTCTTGCCGCGAGAGGGAGCTCTCGAGGCATCTCCCAAAGCAACTTGCTAAACTAAAAGGGCGCTAGAAAGACCCTGCTTCGTCTTCCTGTGAACGCAGCACCGAAAACGGGTGGCCTGGCTCCAAGTCTGCATTTTGCCACCTTCCCCCTCTGCTGCTTCGGCCGCCCCGGGAGCCCCACGCCTGCAGGCTCCCCACAGTGGCTGCTGAGCAGACGGGGCTGCGCTGGCCCAGGTTGCTCCCGCCACTCGCTCTTCCCCAGCTCTCCTGGACAGTCCTCGGCTGAAGCCCTTGGGGAGCACCGGCGGTGGCTTCTCCGTCCCTCCGGGCCTCCTTTTGGGAGACGGGACTTCCCCGGGGCAGGAAACGTGAGCAGGCCGGAGAGACTCCCACGGTGACCCAGCAGCCGACACAGAGCCTAGCCAGCACGAGCCACGGCAGCCGTTGCAGGAACGACCACCACAAGCCCGTGGAAGCTGCACTCCACGCTGCTCGTCCCCCGACCGCTCCAGTCCTGCCTGCCCCCCAGGAGGAGGGGTGCGTTCTGGATTCAGTTTCTTGGATCTTATTTCCAACAGACAAAAATCTCTCCTGCCTGAACGCTGTTGCCCGGAGGACTTGGTCTGGTGGGCAGGGAGCCCTTCGTGCCAGGTGCTGCTCTCTCTCCAACAGCAGCGACAATGGCGTGGCAGGAGTGGCGAAACACGCCCACCCACCCGTAACTTGCCACCGTCACGTTCTTTCCAAGGGCTGCACGCCCAGGGCGTGTCCCAGGGACAGGCTCTGGCTGACACAGCCCTGGGGCCAGCTGGGGTGGGAGCGCGATGCCTGGGGGGCACCTGCTGAGGTCAACAAAACTGGGCCCTTCTTGCCCAGGAAGCTGACAAAGCAAAGCGGGTGGCTCCAAACTGAAAGCTCATGAAATAACTCTGCTTTTCAGTCTTCTGCAGGACAAAAGGATGCTGGGGGTGAGCTGACTCTGTTTTCATTCTAGTTTAATCCAGCATTCTTGCTTTTGGTCACATGTCGATCAATACTGCTGGCCTGTGACTCTGCCGCTCTCTATAAATTGCGGGGCCCAGCTGCGGGTGTCCAGCGGCAGAAGCAAATTTTGGTGCAACCGGTAGGCTTCCTCCGCTCCTCCTTCTTCCGGGGTTTACGCTGCTGCTGCTTTCGTGGGCCGCTTTTCCAACCAGGGTTGAGTCTCTGGTGGAGAAAATCGGTCAGGAGGGTAGGGTGGAGCGGGCGCAAAATAAGGGGAGGTCTGTAGAGAGACGGTTGGAACCCACCGTCCACCGCCCAAGAACAAGGAGAGGCTCTGTAGCGGGCAAAGGGGTGAGGTTTGTTTGATCGCTGTCTTGACCAACACAGCGCTTGTTTCAGATGGCTGCAGCCCCCCGTCCCCCCAGGGCCCCTGTAAAGGAGGGATCTCTTCTCCTGGCTAAAGCCGCCGGGATCCCTTTTCTGCTTCTCGCGGTTTTACTGGGGTCAAAGGAAGCGGTTTCTCTACTTTCTTGATAATGCCAGCTTGTGTCTTTCTCTCTTGCAAAGTGGGTTATACTTACCGTTGGCAGGTGGCCCTTGGCCAGTCTTTGTCCATCCCCCTCTTCACGGGGCCAGGCCAGTCCTGAGCCGGGCAATGGCCCAGCTTCTCCCCTGTGCTGAAGAGGGACCAAGCATCCACTTGAAGCCCCAGGGTAGATGGGAGGGGCTAGTAGCCCCTGCGGAGCATCCCAAGGCGGTGCCCCTCGTGAGGGTGGTGGCGGCTGCGTGCCATCCCTACCGTGACTTCTCTCCTCAGGGAGCAGCCCCCTTTCGCCATGGCCTTGGACCATCAGACATCGAAGCAGCTGCAGACCAGTTCCAAGGTCAGCGGGCCCCTCCGCATGCGGGCGTGTGCCTGGGGGAGACGGGGGGAGAGGAGCTTGTGCGGGCCCCGGTGTCGGTGTGGGAGGAGGACGATGGGGGTCCTCTTTGCCTTGCAGGCCGAGGACGGCAGAAGCCATAAGGCATCTCTAGCTTCCCGCCCCCCAGGCAGGCCCAGCACCATGTTGAAGGGTTATTTTCCTCCCAGTTGAGGGTGCCCAAAAGGCTCTGACGGGTCCCCTCTTTTCTGCGCTTCCAGATCGCCCTCTTCGAACAGGACAACTTCCAGGGCCGCTGCCAGGAGCTGAGTGCCCCTTGCCCCAACTTGAAGGAGGCCGGAATAGAGAAAGTCAGTTCCATTTTGGTGCATTCAGGCCCGTAAGTACCCAAAAATGGGGTTCGGGGGGAGGCAGTTTCCCACGTGGAGGCTGTGGGACTGGTGCGGCCCCCCCGGGCTGGTGTGGACGTGGATCCGTTTTCCAAACCGTGAGGAAGTTCCAGGCGGTGCTTTGAAAAGTCCCGAGAAGGGGCTGTCCCCACCCCGACCCTCCAAGCGCTTCAGAGGGAGGGCAGCTCGATTGGCACGGAGGCACCCCCCACCCCACGAAACTCTAGTGCAGTTTCTTGGGTGGGATTTCTGGTTGGGGTTCAGACACCAGACGAGCCCCCGCTGAAGCCTCTGCTCTGCCCCCAGGTGGGTTGGATATGAGCAGGCTCACTTCAAAGGGGAGCAGTTCATCTTTGAGAAGGGGGAGTACCCCCGCTGGGACTCCTGGACCAGCAGCCGCAGGAGCGATGGCATCTCCTCCCTGAGGCCCATCAAAGTGGTGAGCAGCTCAGTTCTTGCTGGCCAGGGATGGGAGGAGGGGGTCTCGGAGGGAGGGCTGACGCTTGCTGCAGCCGGACCCTTGGCTGTGAGGCCAGGCCTGTGTGCAGATGGGCATCAAGGCTCGTGCAGCCGCGTTCTGCCATGGGGTGAGGGGTTCCTTTAGCCCTTTGCAAAGAGGACGGGGAGGGATCACGATGGCGGCCGGGCGAAGAGAGGATGGTGGTGGCCACAAAAAGGTGTGTTGCTCAGCAGCAGCAGCAACAGGAGGAAAAACAGAACAAAGAATGCCCGCCCCCCGCCACTGTGTCTGAACGGGCTGCAAAACAAACCTGAATTGGGAAGCAATTAAGAGCGTTTCAGGTTGGGGCCTATATCCAGCCCCTTGCCCCCGGTAGCTGGGGGGCTCAGCTGGGATTCGGCCCTGGCCCCACAGCCCGCCATCTGCCCTCGTCCTTCCCTGCAGGACAGCCAGGAGCACAAGATCGTCCTGTACGAGAACCCCAGCTTCAGTGGCAAGAAGATTGAAATTGTGGACGACGACGTGCCCAGTTTCCACGCCTACGGCTACCAGGAGAAGGTGTCCTCCGTGCGAGTGCAGAGCGGCACGTAAGTCTCACGGCGGGCGACGGGGGCCCTCCCTTGCAAGCCGCCTTGGGCTTCGGGAAGGGGACAGCAGTGGAGGGCGCGGGCCCAGGCCTAAACAGCCAGAGAGGGAGGGGCTCTCATCCCCGGGGGTTTCCTTCCCGCTTCCTGGCCTGAGGGGCTGGGGCTCCGTGCTCCCAGCTGCCCTCCCCTGACCCTGCCCTCCTCCCGCAGGTGGGTTGGCTACCAGTACCCCGGCTACCGTGGGTACCAGTGTCTGTTTGAGAAGGGAGACTACAAGGACAACCTGGAGTTCGGCGCCCAGCAGCCCCACATCCAGTCGGTCCGGCGCATCCGGGACATGCAGTGGCACCAGCAGGGCGCCTTCTATCGCACCAGCTAAGCCCCGGGAGGGTCCTGGGCCGCCCCCGCCACCCGGTCTTCCTCTGCTGCCTGGCCGGGCCCCCTCCTCTGCTCGCTGCCTCTGCTTCTGCTTCCATCCCTGAATAAAGCTTTTGTCATCTGAAAACTCTTCCTGGCTCTGCTCGGCTTCCATCCCTCCTGGCATGGCAGAAAAAGGGGCCTGCCCCGGAGGCTGCTCCATGCCCCCCACCCGGGGCCTCCTGCATCAAGAAAAGCTCCTCCCCACCCAGCTTCCTGGGGGAGCCAAGCCCAGGAGCCCCCCTCCTGGTTGTGCTCCAGGCAGAGCATGGTAGACTGCCCTTGGGCTTGGAGGTGCCACGCAGCCACTGTGCAGCACTGAGTAACCAATCCATCATTCCCCCTCCTCGTTTCTCCTCCCCTTTAAAAGCATTGAAACTCCCCATCAGGCTCAGACTGGGGGGCAAGAAGGGGGTCCAGCCTGCCAGTCCTTCTGCCCTGGGCAAAGGGAGGGAGGGAGGGATGCAGCTTCCTGCCCACTGCCCTTCCACCCCTTTCTCGTCTTGAACTGTTCCTCTGCCGGCCTCCCTGGGATTTTGTGGAAAAAACACCCCAGCTGCCCCCACCCCCAGATCTTCCAGAAACAAGAGAAGGGTGCCAGCCTGGGCAGGGGGCTTCCTCCACCTCTCCTCTCGATCTGGCTGGCCCCTGGGCAAGTTTCCCACAATTCCCAGGGCTTAAGAGGAGAAGCGTGCGCCCGTGAGAACTGGGGCTGGGGCTTCAAGGAAGTCTCAGCCTTTGCTCCATGTTGAGGCGGGGGTGCTGGGTCACCCCCCCCAGACACTGCCTCACCCAGCCTTCTCTAACCCACAGAGCCCAGGCAACTCCTAGCAGGGATGGGCGTTGTAGTCCACCCAGGCTGACCGTTCTTTCAAGACTGAACTCTTGGAAGCACCTCGTGGCTGAGGGTCTCGGAGGGAGGAGAAGGCCCCTCCTCCTGATTCCAGTTTCTGGGCTCCGGATCTTACAAGCCAGTATCTCGTGGCTGGTGGGTGCCTGAGGACTTTGATCATGGGCACCACGGGGATGGTGGGGTCCCCACTGGAACGCGGCTCCGCAGCTTGGGAGAGGCAATCTTGGAACCAGTCCCGTCACTCCCAAGTGCGCAGAGGGAACTGCCGCTGGGCAGGAAGGATCTCTGCAGCAGAACTGGTTCCAAGGGCAGGATACGGCTTGCCCAGGTCCCTCAGCTCCAGCCCTGAGCGCCAGCGTAGCCATGCAGGTTGCTCGGGCAGCAGGCCTTGCGGGTTAAGAAAGCCACAGGGGCAGGGAGTTTTAAATGGCACTCTTAATTGGTCTTAATTGGTATGACTCCCCCTGGCATGGGACACAGCAGGGCCTTGCATCTCTGGGTTCCGTCCCATCACCCGTGCGCCACGGCTGAAAGGCAGCGAACCTGCCCGGGCCACCCAGGAGGAGCGTGGCCAGGAAGAGGCTGGCTTCTGGGCAGCTCTGCCTCGAGTGGAGGCGCTTGGTATTCCAGATGCCTCCGCTCCGTCTGTCTGGAAGCAAATGATCCTAGACTGGCATTCACAGCCCGCGCCTGTCGGGCAGCGTCAGCAGCTCACACAGCCACTCCAGGTGCCTCTGGAGAGGAGCTTTGCGCCTCCTCAAAGGGGAGAAGCAGCCAGATGGCGAGGCTGGCAGGACTCCAGGGAGCCTTTGCTCCCCTCGCATGGGAGGCACAAAACAGCCGGGTTCCCTCTCTCCCCCTCCAGTTGCCAAGGGCTTTGACCTGGATTGGTGGGTGGGGCAGGAAGCTTTGGGGCATCTGCCTGAGGCCTGCAGAAAGCGATGCCAGCGAAAGGCTGATGCAGCTGGTTTATTAGCAAGCCTCTCTCCTTGGTGCCCAGCCACATGGAGACCTGATGGGATTAACGCGTACCAGTGGATTAGAGTCACGGGAAGGTAAATGGCCCAGGGCAGTTTGCCCTGTGTCCAAATATGGCAGAAACAGCACGACCACAGGAGCCGGCCTTTGGGTCACTCTGGGTCTGTTGCAAAATATTTAGATCTGTTTTTAAATGCTGCACAATGGATGGCCGGAAGGTCTTTCCTGGGCAAACAGGCCAGAAATCAGCCAAGGCGAGAACAAATTGTGCAGCTCGGGTGCCCCTGAACTTGGCAGAGGGAAAGGTGCCCTGAATGGCAGCAGGCGGGTCTCGGCCCGGCTCTGTGCCCGACAGCCTCTTGCTCAGAGGCCAGGCCTGTGGCTGCTGAGGGGGCAGATGGGGCCGCTGGGGCTGGAGGATGAGCAGGATGAAGCCCTGGGAAGCAAAAGCAAAGCGGGTGGACTTTCTCAGGAAGGGTTGCCTGGTTTGGAGAAAGGCCCCCCCGGCCCCCACCCTTCAGGCAGGCACCAGTTAGCACCACAGCCGCTCCTCCCTCACCTCTAAGGGCTGGCAACGTGGTGGAACTGAAATCCCTGGATGGCCTCCTGGGGTTGTGGCAGAGCGGCAACAAGTTGGGGAAGATGGGGCAAACTTGCTCTTGTCAGGAGGACAATGTGCCCTCTTTAATTCTGGAGGAAGAGGCAGGAGTGGGCCCAAAGCCTCACTCGCCCATCGCTCTTGCACGCTTTTGTGTCCTTGCGCCTTGGCACATTTGAGACGCCGATTGCACGTGGCTGGCGTAGGCGGATGGTGGCATCGTAGCTCTGGGGAAATAGGATGAGGAAAAGCCCTCATCTTGAAGGAGAAGTCCTTTCTGCAAAGAGATCTGCTGGGGGCGGGATCTGAGAGTAATCTGCTTCTTAACCCTTCGGCCTCCTGCTCCAAAGCCACAAGCCTGCTGCCAGGCTTCCTGGTGCCAGAAAAACCACCATCCGGCCCATCGGCAATTCCTTCCTGCGGAATCTGGCTTTGAGATTGCTGGGAGGGGGAGAGAAGCCCACAGGAAAAGGGTTGCTTCCCAAAGCCAGGCGACGCTCCAGACGCTGTCCCCCGAGGCCGCCCAAGCAAAAACGGTTGGCTTTGGCCCGAGATGTCCGTGCAATGCCACAAGGGGTGGGGGGCTGCACTGGTCGGTCGGTGCCAGAAGGACGGTGCCATTGGGGAAGGGCTGACTTGCAGGTCCCCAGTTCCTGCGGTGGTGAGTACTGGGACCCCTAGAGGGGTGGCCTTTCCGAGCGTCATCTGCGCTCTGGGAGGAGGAGAGGCGGGCAGAAGCCGGCTCGCTGAAGGGCGAGGAGCCACAAGCTGCCCAGAAGAGGCAGGGCTTCTGCGGCAGCTAGGCTTGAGCTGCGGGTTGGCGGGCTGGCTGGGTGAGGGATCTGGCAGAGGGAAGAAAGGAGCTGAGGTGAGAGCGGACACTGCCCACCCACGGCTCCCACACGCCAAATAAGGATGAAGGATTCAGCTTTCTCTGGCACAGGAAGGTGGCTGTGCCTGAAGACGGGGCCAGCATCACCGAAAGGAAGCGTAGCCTGCGATGGGAGGCGATTGCTGCTACGTTTGGGCCAGCAGGCTGAGGGGGTCCCTCTTCCTTGCTGGTGGCGATCCTCTGGCTGGCCAGCCCGCCTCCTCCCCTGCCAAGGAGGGCACCGTCTGGAGCAGCAGCCGGTTCCTGGGTGGGGCGGAGAGGAGGACCTCGGTCGCTATCAGCTCAAGCGGAGAGCTTCGCAGGTGTCAGGCCCACGGGAGTGGCCAGAAACTCCACACCCCAATTCTGGGAGACTTTGCTCCTCCTTTCCGCTTGGCGGAAAAGCCTCATCGTCTCTCGTGGCCCTGTTAGGAGTCTACCTGTTGCAACCGGTGGACGCCCAGAGCTTCGTGTTTCTTCGGGAAATCATGTGGCAAAAAGGCTGCCGTTGAATCCCGGGTCCAGTTGTGAGGAAACGATAAGGCGGGTTGCTGGTTCTTCAGGGTGATGCTTTGGCTTGAGTTAGGGGGTCCTGATTGCTGGAGGAGGTCCCATAGGAGCTGTTTTGTCTGCCCCTCTCCTCACCCTTCTTGGAGGACCAGTCTCCAAAGACTCCTGAGGAAAACCCTCCGTTTCAATGAACGAAGCTGTTTCAGTGGCGCAGGCAGGAGGGTTCGCGAGGTGACCGAAACGTGTTGATGGGGAGGCAAAATAATTGGAAACGTGGGGAGGAACCAAGCTAGGGGGGCACAGGGAGAGGAGGGGAGATCTGGAAAAGGTCTCCAGAGATGGGCCGAGGGGAGAGTCCCAAGATGTTCCCAGTGGCAAAGCACGTGGGGACTCTCACGGGCGTCACTTGTCCTTGTCAGGAACGGAGCCTGGCCAATGGCAGACGGAAGACAAAACACGCAGAAGTTGATCTTTGGGAGGAGGAAGAAAAGCAGCAGCAGCAGCAGCAGCAGCAGCAGCAGCAGCAGACGAGGAGGTGCCATTCCTTTGAAAGGCTTGCAAGGCTACAGAAGTAGCTGTGGAGACCCGGCACATCTGGCACCCTTTTTCCTTTGGCTCCAAGGCACCCAAAGAACGTAATTGGGGAGGCACGTTTGGGCAGGCGTATGAATACGGGTGGGGCTGGAGGGTGGGCCCCTCTCCCAGGCAAGGCTGCTCAGACCCCGGGAACCTTGGCCGCCCTCTCTTGCCATCCTCTGCTCCGTTCGCTCTGGAGCTGCCACGTACCTCCCCTGCGCATGGCCACCCATCTGTCCTGGGCGGGGATATGTGGCGAGAGAGCTGTGAGCTGCAGGTTCCCTATAATTTCCCTGAGAGGGTGGGAGCCCTGCAGCTGCCTCGGTGCCCACGTGGGCAGGCAAGGCAGCCTGGCAGTTCGATTGCTGTGACGGGAGTTTTTTCCCGCTTCTGATGGCGTCTATGAAGGTGGCGCTGGTGCTGGCGCTGGCGCTGGCAGTAGGCCTCTCCTGAATCCAAGGAGAACCTCTGGAGCTTTTGAATCTGCGCACTGGATGCCTCTGCTTCCCTCACTCTGGGGCCCTCCAGCTGTGCCAGGCTACAACTGCTGGAATTGCCAGAGATCCTGCCAGCAGAGAATGCTGGGAGTCATAGGCCAACGCTGCTGGAGGGATGTGGTGGTGGTGGCAGCGGCGGCAGCGCGAAGGGGGAACAAAGGCAGGCATGAGACGTAGTCGTGTCCCCCCCCCCCCGTCTTGC